TAGGTTGGTGGGCAGATCATCTAAGGCCAGCAGTTTGAGACAAGCTTGGTTAACATGGCAAAACCCAGACTCTACTAAAAATACACAAATTACCCGAGCCTGGTGGTGGGCGTCTATAATCCCAGCTACTCAGGAGGCTTAGGCAGGAGAATCTCTCGCATTCAGGAGGTGGAGTTGCAGTGAGCTAAGATCGTGCACACTACACTCTAGCCTGGGAGACAGAGCAATACTCCAACTCAAAAAAAAAAAAAAAAAAAAGAAAGAAAGAAACTTACAAATGATTTTATTTCTACCTTTTTATTCAATACGAGGCTTTGGCTCTATTTGAGATGTCAAGTGGGACCACACAAAAGCCTGCATTTGCTTCTTACACAGCCCATTCTCTCTCAATATTTGGCAACAGAAGATGTCCTCAGAGGATTTTCATCTGAGAACCAAAGGCCTGCCTACTCCTGGTTTATTTCAAGTGAAGAACACAAATCCCAAACACAGCCTAACAGAGGAAATGGGATCAATGGAAATTCAAAGGTGACTTCTGGAAGGCCTGCCTAAAGCTTGTTTTCATATGACACCTTGTCCTACAAGAAGCCTCTCTTAACCATCTTATTAAAGGACATCAACTCTTTTAAAAATTGTTTAGCATTACCTTTCAGTAGGCTACATAACCCCAGAGGGCATAATTGATACCAGTGGGAAATAGCTAAGAAGCTGATTTTGATTCAACATAAGACCAAACTTTCAAACAATTATTGTCAAATAAGGAAGTAGTTGAACTGGGAGAGATTCAATATTAAAGTCTATTAACTCCTAAGGTCAAAGTTATTATTTGATGGCACTAAATGTAATCAGTGACCTTGCAGAGCCTAAGGGAATGGTACATGGGAGAGCTAAGTTTTGGTGAGATCTTCGCCTTATAGTTCTCTTGCTGCAAAGTCCTGTAGAGTCCAGGATGGTCCCGGGTGCCAGAAAAAAGGCTTGTAGCAGGCCAGACCCAAATGGTCATCAAATTGAACCACTTATGAGAGAAAGTACTGTGTGTTAGAGGTCAGGAGAGAATCAGTCACCACAAGCTCACTCTTGATTCTCTAAATAAAAAAGTGAAAGACAAGCTCATCCCACCAACATCCTTTCCCCAAATCAAACAGATCTCTAATGGTGGAATCATAGATTATAAATTACTATTGCCAGAGCTCATGGAGACCCAAAAGCAAAAGCTTCTCGAACAAAGACAAAGAGGAGTTCAGGAATGAGCAGGCAGCACAGTGAAAGAATGGAGCATGCTTGGCCTAGGATAAATCTGGGCACGGGCCTTCCATCACCAGCCTGCATACTCTGTCCCATCTGAAAGTGTCAGGCCCACCAATACAGAGATACTGACCCGCTGCTCCTTAACTTTGCTGTCAGTGCTACTTAGCTGCCTGTAAATGTGCATACGAGTCTGATCATATTCACCTCCCTTGACTACATCTCTTATGCTCTGCTGATATTCATGTAGGAAATGGTGTGACAGTTTCATAGAAGGGGCTCAATGTCTAAATGGCAAGTCTACATTCCCTGTCACTTGGTCTTTCTGCCTCCTTTTTGATTTAACATGACACCATGGCATTCATTGTGTCCAACCTTCAAAAGTACTTTAGAAGAGGCACAGGCTTTGGAATCTGACAGACCTGAGTCTGAAATCTGTTTCTGTCACTCCCAATTATGCAACCATGGGTGTACCGAACTTTTTAAACTCTCTGAAACACAATCTCAATTTATTCTTCTGTAAAATGGGAATCATAATACCTTCCTGGAAGGTTTGAGAACTGGGATCAATGAGGATTCGAGGGGGAGGGTTAAACGAGATCCCAGGAAATGTTCAATAAATGTTTGTTCTCTGCCTCCTTAGACTACACCATGACCTTTAAGAGGCCAGATCCTCTATCCAACAGGGTGTGACACTTTAAAAATAGAATCATTTTCAAAGATGGCTATGTGATGTATATAAAATAAAGTACCTCCTGCCAACTAAATAAATAGAGAAGAGCATGTACTCATTACTGTTCTAATTTAATCTATCTAAGTGCCTGGAGGTCTTTGTGAGGTAAATATTATTTTCACTCCGACCTTGGGTGCAGCATTCCCATTGAATTTATCTCAGTTCATCCTTTTATGCCATGCTGAAGCCTTCCTAATAGCCTGAAAGCATTTTGTTAAAAACAGAAATTAGTAGGATCTAAATAACCAGTAAATACGTGGTTACTTGGATGATTAGAGAATGGGATATTCTGGGTAACTTGCTGTTCTGCCTAATAAAGACTTAGCATGTAGGCCTAAATTACCTATTTTCAAAGAATAAAACCCATCAAAACATACAACCTGTTCTGAACATGAGATATTTAGTGATGATACTCAGAGGCTGGCAGGGACATGGGACTCACTAGAAGGATTGTCAATAACTTTGGCACAAGTGAATGAGCAGGGCTGTGCTCTCACATGCTCGGGACATTTTTTGAAAGCAGTTTTGACTTTGATGTGTTTATTGTTTCTAGTTTCTTTACCAAGATTTATAGAAAAAAATTTGTTCTAGGTTCTCCTCCATAAAATTTTTCAAAAAAGTATTTACATATCCTGCTCAATTTGGACAATTCAGTAGAAAATAAGAACTGCTCATGTTCAGTGGGTCACTGATGAATGAGTCAGTCTGTATGGACTTAACCCTTCTAGTCTTCTGCTCCTACATGGGTAGACCCAGATATTCAGGAACTCAATGCGGTTTTGATATCCAGACACAGTTTATTTTCATAAGAAAGAATTTTCTTTTAAAGCAAATGTGAATTCATTGTAAAACATTTAGGAAATACAGCCAAAAAGGGAAAAAAAGACCAGTATCTGTAATTTACCATTTTGAGATGACTACCATTAATACTTTTGAAAGTCTTCTTTGCAGACATAAACAAAGATATACTTTTCATTTATGGGTTCATAATATACAAACTGCAAATGGTATCTACCTTCTTACCTTTTCAACAATCTGTTATGATCATCTTTTCATGTTAATATTCTTCTTCAATGCATATTTTAATGATTACAAAGGATTTTACTTATCATAAATTATTCTGAAATCAAGCAATATTCTTCTTTAAAAAGAAAAAAGGAGAATAGTTTATAGCTAAATCTTTGCTTAAATCTATTTATTACCACTGGATTAATTCTTGGGAGTGGATTTGAAGAACCAAGGTCATTTAAAAAAAATTATACATTGTCAAACTCTTCTCCAAAGATTTAAACCAAAGTATACACTCCACCGGCAGTGTACTGCTGTTTATGTGTCTGTTCCTAAGAAGATTGTCAAAGTCTTGATATCAGGGTGTGTAGTATTCATCTTCATAGTCAACATTTTTTATGTTTTTGCACATTTAGTCACCGAAATATTTGTTGAATGAATTTGATGACTCTTCCATTGTTTGAATGAATGTGTAATACAGGCAAGTTTGTATAACGTTCCTAGGGCTCAGTTTTCTCTTTGGCAAAATGAGAATTTTGGTTATATGCTTCCCACCATTCTATGATTTCACATCTGTTGTGTGAAATGCAATGACCAAGATACTCTGGGGAGATTACACATATATACAATATATAATAGTGATGGGACATGAACATATATCACATGTAAGCTAATTATAATTGAACAGAAGTATACATAGATGTGCTGAATACTCAAGCAGAGTAAGGCTAGATGATACAATGGGAGATTATCGAAAGGTGATACTCAGCTAATCAGACATCTCTTGCTTTCTATCTATAAAAAAAGTCCCTTTCTCACTCAGGATTTTGTGTTTTATTGGTATCTAGAAAACAGGAGCCATAATTATCTTGAAACTCAGTGTTCTTTGGTTATTCCACTCAGGGCAAAGCTGATCACACTAGGCTTTAGGAACATTTCAATCATCGCTTTTAAATTGCCTAGGATAGAATTGTATTTGTTGACTTTTATGTTCCTTGACTTACTGGTACATTGGTGGTGAACGGGTGTAGACTGCTCTAGACTATGCATGCAGCTACTGTGCTTACCTCTATAGCCCTTCTTTTCCAGGCCATCCTTGGTTAAGTATGGACAATCAAAGGCTTAGCTGATAGTCACAGAATCATTTGGTTCCCCTAATCACTCAGTTTATTACTTTATTAATTCATGGTTACTTATTGAGAATTTAACATTCTAAGCTAGTGGGGGGGTGGTGCAATGGCAGCACCATTGCAACAACAATGGCAGGTATAAACATGATCCATTGGACACACAAAGGAAAAACTCACCAATCTCCAGAAGCCAGGGGAAGTTCTCACAGAAGATGACTCCTGAAAATGATTCTTGAGATGGTACTTAAAGAAGGAGCTCAAGCTTGTTAGGTAGATGGGAATATGTGGGTAAGAGTGTAGGAAAAAAATGGGATTCAAGTAGAGATACAGCACAGAAAAGGGCGACAGAATCGTGGGTTTATCACTGGTAGGTATGTTTCCTATCAGTCTCCCACTACTCAAACCTCTCTCCACCACACTCCTACAGTTCTCCTTACACAGACCATCTAGTGGAGAAGTAGAGGTCTTGAGTGCGTCTCCATTCTTTGCCATAACTCCAGAAAAGGTCTTGCTGCTTTCCAGTGATAGCTGGCTCTGTGACCACTGGTTCATCCTGAGTGCCTCCACTTGGCCACTCTGCATAGACCCTATCTGATCCAGCATTTATGGCATTATGGGTCATTTAGTCTCCAACTTACACACACCTCATTTTTTTGGTTTAAGAACTCCCTGTTCCTGGGACAAGAGGCCAGGGCACTTTTGGAGGTATGTCAGTCACAATTACCCTCAAAGAATTTCTTTCAAGCTCTGAAGCCAGATTTCTAAATGAGGCACACATTTTCCCCACTCGTCTTATCAGATGACATGTCCAGAAGCTAATCTTGCTTTTAAACCAGTAAACTTACCTGCATCCACATCCATCCTGAAATCTTTTTGGCTGTCCCAAAAGAAGTAGCACACTTTCTTCTGCTCAAAACTCTTCTCTTCACCCATGTCCTAAACAAGTGCTTCCCAAATCTAAGAAACATAAAACTCAGTTGAAAACCTTGTTAAAAACATGGATTTCCAATGCCCAAATAGCTGAATCTGAATTACCTGAATTCTCAAGTGTACGAGTCAGGAATCTATAGTTTCACAAGCTCTCGACATCTTTTTCTTGGTGGTAAAATATTTCATGCATTTAAAAAAAAGGGGATGTGAGATATGTATTGAGTGTATATCCTAGGTGATCTCATAAAACTAAGCAATCTCTAATCTGTAGAACAGCATTTAGGACCCATTATTCTGGATTTCCATGGCTTCCTGCTTCTTCAAGAACCAGTCACTGTCAGTTCAGGGGCCTCAACTTCATCTTCTCTGCAGATTCCCTTTTCTTCACCTAGCAATGAGTTCAAGAATCTCTCATAAAAATATACCCTCTAGACTCTTCTTGCTATCCCTCTTTAATTTCTTTTACGGCTTTCTTATGCTAACCATGAAGGAAAATAGTCTCACTCCACATTCTCCCATCAACCACTTTGATTTCCAAGCCAACAACTCCATGGAAATTATCATCATTATTATTGGGACGCAGTCTCACTCTGTCACCCAGGCTGGAGTGCAGTGGCGCTATCTGGGATTACTGCAAGCTCCGCCTCGCAGGTTCAAGCCATTCTCCTGCCTCAGCCTCCCCAGTAGCTGGGACTACAGGCGCCCGCCACCATGCCCAGCTCATTGTTTTTTCTATTTTTAATGGAGACAGGGTTTCACCGTGTTAGCCAGGATGGTCTCGATCTTCCGACCTCATAATCCACCCGCCTTGGCCTCTCAAAGTGCTGGGATTACAGGCGTGAGGAAATTATTTTTTTTAAAGTTCATTCATAAGAGCTGGTGATTTCTATTTCTTTAACCTGATGCACAGAATTGAGTTTTTCACCCTCTTCAGTCAAGGCAAACTTTCATTGACATTCTATGAAAATACTCTTAAAAATATTTTTTGTTGCATGCTTTCTTTGTGGTCATCCTAATTCTACTCTTCTTATCTGCCTAAGGTACAACCCACCTTCTGTGTGGTATTTTTATGTACATATATGTTATCAAATGCAAGTATATTCTTCATATGTATAGTTTACATAAATGTTACCATGCTATAAAAAATAATTTTCTTTCTTTGTTTCAGGTGTTTTTAACATATATCTATATTGTTATATATAAATGTTTTATTTTTCTAGACTTCTTAATAGTATTCTATTCTGTACACATACCACAAATTTACTTATCCATACATGAGTGACGGACATTTTGATTACCTTTATTTGCCAAGATACCCCTGTGATATACATCTATATATATACACACACACATCTATATATACACATCTATATATACATCTATGTATATATTATGTATATATGTACAATTTTATATATATACTCACATCTATATATACACACATCTATATATACATATATGTCTATACATCTATGTATAATGTATATATAGATGTGTGTATATATAGATGTGAGTATATATGTATATATATAAAATTGTGCTTCCTATGAGAAAATTTATTTCAAAGATTCTCAACCTTGGTTATATATTAGAATCACCTGGGAAGTTCTTTTGTTTTTAAATACTAATGCTTGGAGACCTCACCCTCACCCTCCCCACCTCAAACCCAACTTAGTTGTTCTGTGGTGGGACTTGTACATCAGTATTTTTATTAAGGTCCCAGGTGATTCTAACATATATATGGCAGTGAGAATTATTCTAGGGCCTTGCTCTTCAAAGTATTGTTCACCAACCAGCAGTACAGACATCACCTGGAATTTGCTATAAATGCAGAAACTCAGGTCACACCACAGACCTACTCAACTGGGATTTGCATTTTAACAGCATCCTCAAGTGATTCACATGTGCAGTAAACTTTGAGAAGCACTGGTCCAGTTTGTACTCCCAGGAATGAACATATTGGTTTCTAAGGTACACATATATTTGATTACACTACCACCTGAGTGCTCAACAAAATGACTGCCTTGATTTACCCTTCCACTAGTACAAGGAGATAATTTTTAGCCCATATACTTAAAAGCATATTCAATTTTAATAGTTGATCCACTGTAGAGTTCTCTGTTGTATTTTTTAAACAGATTTATTGTGGCATAATTTATATACAAAAATTGTACATATTTAACGTATACAATTTAATAGTTTGGACACATGCATACACCCATGAAACTATCACCATAATCGAGGTAATAAACATATCCATCACTTCCAAAAGATTCCTTGTGCCCTTTTGTCTTTTACTGGTTGGTTGGTTATTTTGTGTTGTGTAAGAGCACTTAACATGAGCTCTATCCCCTTAAATCTTCTAAGTGCAAACTATTGTTAACTATAAATAGAATGCTTAACAGCAGATCTCTTGAATGTATTCATTTTGCATAGCTGAACTTTATATCCACTGAACAACTGCCCCATTTCCCTTCCACTGGCCTATGGCAACCACTATTCTAGTCTCTGCTTCTATGAGTTTGACTATTTTAGATACAAGCGGAAACATGCAATATTTGTTCTTCTTTGACTGGCTTATTTCACTAAGTAGAATATTTTCCAGGTTAATTCATGTTGTCACATATGACAGAATTTCCTTTTTTAAGGGCTGAATAATATCTATCGTATGTACATACCACACTTTGACTATTCATCCATCAATGGACATTGAGGTTGCTTATATATCTTGACTATTGTGAATAATGCTTCAATGAACATGAGAGTGTAGATATCTCTTTCATATCCTGTTTTCAATTTTTTGGATATTTACTCAGAAGTGAGATTGTTGGGTCATATGATAGTTCTGTTTTTAATTTTTTTATGAAACTCCACATTGTTTTTCAAAGTCACTCTACCATTTTACATTTCCTCCAGTAGTGTAAAGAGATCCAATTTATCCACACATTGGCCAACACTTGTTATATTTTGTGTTTTTGATAGCAGCCGTCCTAACAGGTGTGAGGTTGTATCTCATTATGGTTTTGATTTGCCTTTTCCTGATAACTAGTGATGTTGAGCAGTTTTTCATACCTGTTGGCCATTTGTATGTCTTCTTTAGAGAAATATCTACTCAGTTTCTTTACCCATTTTGAATCAGGTTGTTTCTAATTTATTTGTTGTTACTGAGTTAAAGGAGTTCTTTATGTATTTTGGATATTATAGATACAGTTTGTAAGCATTTTCTCCCATATGCAGATTTTCTTTTTATTCTGTTGATTTTTTTTTTTCTGTGCAGAAGCTTTTTAGTTTGAAGTATTCCCATTTCTCTATTTTTGCTTTTGTTGCCTGTGCTTTTGGGGTCATATCCAAGAAGTTATTGCTAAAACCAGTTTCAAGAAGTTTTTTCCCTGCGTTTTCTGCTGGGAGTTTTTTACCTTCTGGTCTTATGTTTAAGTTTTCAGTCAACTTTGAGTTGGTTTTGGTGTATGGTATGAGTCCAATTTTATTCTTTTGCATGTGGATTTCCAGTTTTCCCAGCATCATTTGTTGAAGAGACTTTTCTTTCCCCATTGTGTATTCTTGGCAAACTTTTTGAAGATCGGTTGAGATGGGTTTATTTCTGGACTCTCTACCATGTTCAGTTGGTCTGTGTGTCTGTTTTTACACTGTTACCATACTATTTTAATTACTATAGGTTTTAAATATATTGTGAGATTGGGAAGTGTGATGCCTTCAACTTTCCTTTTCTTGAGATTATTTTGGCTATTTGAGAGCCTGGTGGTACTACATGAATTTTAGGATAGTTTTTTCTATTTTTATTTTTAAAATGTGTTTGGGATTCTATGGGGATAGCAGTGAATCTGTAAATCATTTGGGGTAGTGTGGCATTTCAATAATATTAAGCATTCTAATCCATGAACACATGATATGCCATTTTATTTATTTAGGACTTTTTATCAGCAATGTTTGTAGTTTTCGGTATACAAGCCTTTCAACTCCTGGTTTAAGTTCATTCCTAAGTGTTTCATTCTCTTTGATGCTATTGTAAATGGGATTGTCTTTAATTTACTTTTTATATAGTTTGTTGTTAGTGTATAAATACATAACTGATTTTTTTATGTTCATTTTGTGTCTTGCAGCTTTATTGAATTTGTATATTTAAAACCTGTTTATTAAAAAACAGGTTTTCTAGTGGAGCCTCAAGTGTTTTCTACATATAAGATTATGTCATCTGCAAACAGAGATAGTTTTACTTCTCCCTTCCAGTTTGTGTGTCCTTTATTTCTTTTTCTTGCCTAATTCTTCTGGCCAGAACTTCCAATATCACGTTGAATAGAATATTAGCAGTGGGCTTGCTATATGCACTTATAATATTGAGGTAAATTCTTCTGTATCTAGCTTATTGAGATTTTTTTATCATAAAAGGATGTTAAATTTTGTCAAATTCTTATGCCATTATTGAGATGATCATGTGAGTGTTATACCTTATTCTCTTAATGTAGTATATCACATTAATTGATTTGCATATGTTAAGCTATCGTTGCTTCCCAGGGATAAATCTCATTTGATCATCATCCATGATCTTTTTAATGTACTGTTGAATTCAGTTTGCTAGTGTCTTGTTGAGTATTTTCGCATCTATAGGCATAGAGGTGTTGGCCTATAATTTTCTTATAGTGTCTTTCTGTGGTTTTGGTATCACAGTAATGCTGGCCTCATAAAATAAGTTTGGAAGTGTTCTGTCCTCTTCCATTTTTTGGAAGATCTTGAGAGGGATTGGTATTACTTCTTTAAATGTTTGGTAGAATTCTGCAATGAAGTCATCTTGTTCTGAGCTTTTCTTTTATGAGAGATTTTTATTATTACTGCTTCAATCCCCTTATTAACGGTGTGCAAATTTTCTATTTCTTCATGATTCAGTCTTTCTATGTGTCTAGAAATACATCCATTTCTTCTAGGTTACACAGCTTGTTGGTGTATAATTGCTCATAGTAGTCTCTTATGATCCTGTGTGTGTCTGTGGTATCCGTTGTCATGTCTTCTCTTTAGTCTAGCTAAAAGTTTCTTGAATATTTTTATCTTTTCTAAAATCAGCTCTTTCATTGATCTTTTCTATTGTTTTCTTGTCTCTATTTCATTTATTTCTGTTCTGATCTTTGTTATGTCCTCCCTTCTGCTAACTTTGGCTTAGTTTGTTTTTCTTTTTCTAGTTTCATAAGGTGTAACATTAGACTGTTTATCTAGAACCTAATTTTTTAATGTAGGCATTTGTTATTATAAATATACCTCCTAGAACTGCTTTTGCTGCATCCTGTAAGTTCTGTGGTGTTGTGTTTCCATTTTCGTTTATTTCATGTATTAGCCCATTTTCACACTGCTGATAAAGACACACCCGAGACTGGGAAGAAAAGGAGGTTTAATTGGACTTACAGTTCTACATGACTGGGGAGGCCTCAGAATCATGGCGGGAGGTAATAGACACTTCTTACATGGCAGTGACAAGAGAAAATGAGGAAGATGCAAAAGCAGAAACCCTTGATAAAACCATCAGATCTGATGAGACTTATTCACTACCACAAGAACAGTATGGGGGAAACTGCCCCTATGATTCAAATTATCTCCCACTGGGTCCCTCCCACAACATGTGGGAGTTATGGGAGTACAGTTCAAGATGATGTTTGGGTGGGGACACAGAGCCAAACCATATAATCTCAGATACTTTTAAATTTCCCTTTTCATTTCTTCTCTGACCCATTGGTTGTTCAGAAACGTGTTTAATTTCGATACATCTGTGATTTTTTCAGTTTTTCTTCCTGTTACAGGGTGAGCATCCCAAATTCAAAAATCTGAAATCCAAAATGCTTCAAAATTCAATAAACATTTTCTTTGTGCATCAGGTTGATTCTCAAAAGGCTTTCAGTTTTGTAGAATTTTGGATTTCATATTTTTGGATTTGGGATGTTCAACCAGTAAGTATATAATGCAAATATTCCAAAACCCCAAAAAATCCAAAATCCAAAACACTTATACTCCTAAGCATTTCAGATAAGGGATACTCAACCTCTATTGATTTCAAGTTTCATACCATTGTGGTCAGAAAAGATACTCGATATTATTTCAATCTTTTAAGTTTGTTAAAATTTAATTTGTGACCTAACATATAATCTATCCTGGAAATTGTTCTGTGTGCACTTGAGAAGAATGTGTTCAGCTACTGTCAGATGGAATGTTCTGTATGTGATTGTTACATCCATTTGGTCTACAGTATAGCACAAGTCCAATGTTTTCTTATTGGCTTTCTGTCTGGATAATGTATTCATTGTTGAAAGGAGTGCTGAAGTCTCCTACTATTATTGTATTGCTTTCCATTTCTTTTTTTTTTTTAGATGGGGTCTCATTCTTTCACCCAGGCTGGAGTACAGTGGCATGACCTCAGCTCACTGTAACCTCTGCCACCCAGGTTCAAGTGATTCTCCTGCCTCCGCCTCCTGTGTAGCTGGGATTACAGGCACATGCCAGGATGCCCAGCTAGTTTTCATATTTTTAGTAGAGACGGCGTTTCACCATGTTGGCCAGGCTAGTCTCAAACTCATGACCTCAGGTCATCCACCTGCCTAGGCCTCCCCAAGTGCTGGGATTACAGGTGTGAGCCACCTCACCCAGCCACTTTCCATTTCTCCCTGTCAATGTTTGTCAGTGTATCTTTAGGTTCTTTGATGTTAGGTGTATGTGTGTATGCATATATATATAACTATATTACTTTCCGATGAATTTATCCTTTTGTTATTATACAATATCCTCAACCTCTTATAACAGTTTTTGACTTAAAAATGTCATTGGGATTTTTATGGGGGTAGCATTGAATCTATAAATCACTTAAATTTTTTCTGCTATAAGTATAGCTACCCCCGCTCTCTTTTGATGATCATTTGCACAGAATATCTTTTTTCATCCTTTCACTTTCAGACTGTCCTTAAATTTAAAGTGAATTCTTATATACAGCAAAGAGTTGCATCTTGTTTTGTTTTTGTTTGGGTACTATGCTCTGTCTTTGGATTAGGGAGTTTCATCCATCTATGTTTAAAGTAATTATTGATAGGGAAGGACTTACTGTACCTATTTTGTTCATTGTGTTCTCTGTTTTGTAGGTCTTTTGTTCCTGTCTTCATTTCCTGCTGTATTCCTTTGAGTTTCATTGATTTTTTTTTTGTTGTGATACACTTTCTCTTTTTAGCTCACTGTTGTTTTAATTTACATTTATCTGATTACTAGCTATTTTTATTTTTATTTTTATTTGTAGAGACAGGGTCTCCCTATGCTGCCTAGGCTGCTCTTAAACTCCTGGGCTCAAGCAATTGTCCCACCTCAGATTACCAAAGTGCTGGGATTATAAGTCTAAGCCACTACACCCAGTTTCTGATTACCAGTTAGATGGAGCACCTCTTCATATACTTAGGAGTCATTTTAATTTTCCCTTCTGTAATTGCCTTTTTCCACTGATTTGTAACATTACCTCTACCTTATAGCAAATTCTTATACAAATTGTACCTGTTTCTGGCCTCTACTATGTTCTATTGGTCTATGTATTTGCAGCTTTTAGTTATTATGATTTTGTAATATTTCTTAGTATCTGGTAGGCTAAGTCTACCCTTCTTGATCTTCTTGCTTTATCAAAATATTTCTTTAGTATACAAAGACTTTATTTCTCCATATAAACTTTAGAATGTTTGCCATATTCCCTCAAAAAAGGCTTCTTCATTTTCACTATAATATTTTTAAAATTCCCATGAGTTTTGTGGATAATTTATTACTAGGTATTTTTATAGATTTTCCCCAATTTTAATTGGTATCTATTTTATATTACATTTTCAGTTGGTTATTGTTAATTGGTATAGAAAATGCTACTGTCAGTCTTGCCAGGAACTTTGCTAAAGGCTTTTATTAGTCTAATATTTTGCTGATTTCTTAGGTTTCTATTGGTATTATCTGCAAATAATATAATTTTTCTCTGCCTTTCCAATGCTTATGCTTCTGATTTCTTATCTTATTGCATTGGTCAGAATCTCCAGGATTTTATAGGACTAAAAATGCACCTAAGGTTTTCCATAATATAAAATGTAGACTGTTAATAGTCCTCTGATAGGTGAATGTAATACACACATTTTAGTCCAGTTGAACAATATGTTCATCTTATTTGGTCTCTCTTCAGTTTTTAATGCTATTTACAATTATCCTTCTTGAAATTTGTCTTTTATTTCATTCTCTACTGGTTTTCTGTCTATCTTTGGGTTACTGCTTTTCAACATACTTCCCAGGTTTGTTCATTCATTCATTTATTCATTCACTTAAGCAACAAGTGTTTATTGGGGACATCCCATATGCCAGATTTCTCCCACCATTCATCTGCCTCATTCTTTAGCTCTGTGTATACTCTTCCTGGAAAAACTTACTTCCATGGCCCTAACTACTAGATATCATAGGTGCCCAAATCTATTTCTATATACTCTATTATAGATCTACTATTATATATCCTGAACATAAGGTCTGGATAACCTACAACAAATTTAAACTCATCATGTCTTCCCAAATGGCTTCTTTTGCATTCTCCCCCACTGGGTTAACTGCACTATTTGTTGTGTAAAAATCAAGTCAAAGAGTGCTTCCTCTTCTAAAAAGCCTTCTTCAGTTTTTCCATGGGTTACACTTTCCTTTTTGGTTCCTTTGGTGTCTTGCTCACCTTCCTAAATGAAGTATAAAGGTATTTATACTTGCTATAATAATGTATTAATATGCCCCTTCCTACCATTGGACTAGGAGCTCTCAGAGAAGCAGGAACTCTTTCTTTCCATCGCTGAGTCACAGAGACTGGCAGTGTTGATGCTTGCTGAGTAAAGACTGGTTGTTGTCCACTGTGTGAAGCAGCCCTCATTTTCTCTTCTCTCTGAGGCTTGCAATTCTTATTCAACACTATTAAATCAAAAGATTCATTTTACCAAAAGTCATTTGAGAAAGAGAAGGTGTTTCATTACATTAAACAACACTTTGAAAAGGAGAGCAAGGTGAAGAAAGAGGAAGGTTATTTAACTCAGTGCAGGTTAACTCCTGAGGTAACATGGGCACATTCAGTTCCCATGTCCTTTTCTCACATGTCTCCTTCCATCACCTTCATCTGCACTGTTCCTTCATGCTTAGGCCATAAAGGTGAGTTATTTTGTGCTTTTATGTGGTTTATTTAGTGTGTATTTAAAATGTATTACCATTATTTGCTTATCAACAAACTGGAGAAAATGAGTATGGAATAAAATCCAGGTAAAGAGCGGAAGATCGGGGAAAGAACTAAGAATTGTTCCCTTGAAACATTTTGAGAAAACTGAGTTCTGTCTCTACCCTTGGGCATCTCGAGAGGTCTGGAATAAGGGTTCAAGGTGACAGCTGCCTTGCCAAATTTGCAGGAGTCTGGAAGAGATATAAAGAAGTGTAAAACCCTAATTCTCAGCATTAAAAGGAAGCTTACTTGTCATATATTACAACATTCCTTATTGAAACAGAAACATTACCCTGCCTGGAGTCCTTCTCACAATCCTAGGGAAAAAAAGAGGAATAAAATCAAGCAGAACATTTTGTTCTTCCATGCAGATAAGTTGAGGGTGTCCTACATGGAAGGAAAGAGAACCAGGGTAGAAACTTAAGATAAAAATTAATGCTTTGGATCAGTGACGTTTAGCAAAGTGATTAGGCAGTGACATTAAACAAGTTCCAAGGCCAATTCCAAGTGATTTCTGTGGCCACCTGTGCTGCTCAGGAAAACCATGTTTGAGGTGGGAAAAAAAGAGACTTGATCTTAATTAAAACCTGAGGGTGCTTGTAATGGAAAGTTCAGGATCGAGTTGTTTGTTTTTGCTATTAGTATACCTGTTCTTTGTTTAAAAAAAAAAAAAAAAAAAAGACTCTTTTTTTACTCTAGGGAGCATAATGAAGGAAAAATAATTGGTCAGAATATATGGAAAGTATGGAGAGAAAAAAGACATTAATGGTGTTCTAGAGTGAAATTGTCCATCTCTGACAACTGCCTCTCCAGGTAGATCTATCAGAGTAAGGGCTGTGCTTTTCATCACAGTGACTTATGCGTAATTACTCTCTAATCCCATGGGTTTATCAAATGTCTCTTTGGCTGTCCAAAATCATTGTCCAGAAACTGGATAGCACCTGCTAGATGCAGCCAGGGTGAGAGCTTCCCTGCAAGTAATGCCTGGTTGGTAAAAGTCAGATAAACCCCCCTTTCCAGAGTCATCACTGCCACTTTGCACATGCTTCTCCCCTGCTGCCTGTTAGCTGACTTCTCTCATCCCCAACCTTCTATTCAGGTCTCTGGATATGGTCTTGCTTCTCATACCATGGCTATCATATTACTTAAAGGAGGAGGGGGATCTGCTGTCCTCAACATATTCAAGATTGCCCTAAGCCTCCGAATCCATTTGGCAGATGAGTGGAAACTTTTTATGGGTCCAGACTGAAGTAGTAAATATCATTTACTTACATGTTTCACTGGCCTTCCATGTGCTCACACCTCACTGCTAGGAGACTAGGGAATGTAGTCGACAGAAAAAGGAAACAGATTTTGTGAACAGCCAGTCGGATACTGCAACATTACTCCCTCTAGTTTCCACCTTAGCCTCCCCCTTGGTGTTGACTTTCTCACTACCAAGTTGGTGTAATTCAGCAAAGTCCTGTTATTGGAAACAACCTCCAATAGGGTAAGCCTAAATCTGCATGATCAACTTGAATTCCTAAATTCATCTGTCAGCTGCCACCTGCAATATAAGAGATGGACTTCTCAGACTACCTGGCAAGAGGTAAAAGGAGAGGAGGAATTTGGACAGATAGGTCCTGCTGTCCTTACAATCTGCTAGGAAAATTTTGCAAACACCTCAACCCCTCAGTGCCGGAATAATGTATGGGCCATTCCCCCAAATAGCAGCCAAGGACTCAAACATATAGGGAAAGCTTGAGTGAGGAGTAAAATGTAGGACAGCTCAGGGCCTGTGTTTTGGTTGTCAACCCATGTTTGTGTGCTTTGAAATTCTAGGTTACGCAGCAGCTTGAGAACAAGATTGTTGTCAGTAATTTCTGCCAATGAATTCTGAGTCATTTACCTTGATTTATGAGGAATGAGAAGAGAGAAACTCTTCTCCTTGCATTTATTTAATCAGTTGAAACCATGTGGATTTTTAGAGACAGTCTTAATGTAAATTACCCAAATGGTTTAGCACCACTAGATACCTCCAACCCAAGTCCAAATTCAGCATGATTCTTAAGGTAAGAGTGAGATTTTTGACAAAATCCACTCTTCACTTAGAGAATCTCCTTCTCCCCTTTTCCCTGGTTGGACTGTAGGATTTCTCAATAGTGACACTGTTGACATTCTGGGCCACATTCTGGGCTTTGTTGTGGGACAGGGAGAAGTCCTGTACAATGGAAGATATGCAGCAGCATCCCAGACTCTACCCACCAGAAGTACCACCCTGTAAGGGGCCAATAGCATTCACTTCTACGAGTGGTAACAATAAAAATGTCTCTAGCTATTGTCAAATGTCTGCTGCAGAAAGCAAAATTGTCCCTAGGTGAAAATGGCTTAACTGGAAAGAGCTTTGGCTTGCTCTTCTCTAAAATAAAAAATTCCAAATATGTACACTTTCCTAGCCTATTGCACAAAGAAATACTGATTTATAGTATATACTGCCTCAGGGCGGTACGTACATACCACTAATTTTAACTGGTTAAAAGCCATTTTCATTTAATGTTCAATGAAATTAAGGATCATAATGTATGGAGAAACTGGTCAGAGAAGAACAGCAGGATAGTGTAGAAAACAGAAGCTCATGGGAACTATTAGAGGAGGAAAGGAGGGAGGGGGCCAAGTGTTGAAAAACTATTGAGTACTATGCTCACTACCTGAGTGATAAGATCAATTATACCCCAAACCTCAGCATCATGCAATATACCATGTAACAAACCTGCCCATGTACTCCCTGAATCTAAAATAAAAGATGAAATTATTTAAAAATAAAAACAAATAAAAATTCAGATTACAAAGAAAAATGAAAAATAGAAGTTAGGAATAAGAGAAATGATGTACAATGTAAGCACCTCATATCCATGAAGCATATTTTACATAAAAAATGCACTGTGTCCCTTGTCCTTGTGGCTACCCTTACAAGTATATTGTAAACAATCAATAAATAGTTACTGATTTTTGAATTAATTACTGAAGATAACATCCCAATTTTTCAGATAAGGGAGTTGAATTTCTGAGTGGTTAAGTAATTTTTCCAATGTTACAGGGACAGAAAGTGGCAGAGTTGTGATTCAAACTCAGACCTGTCTTACCTTCAAACCCATGCTTTTTTTCTTTTTTATTTTTTGACAGAGTCTTACTCTGTTGCTCAGGCTGGAGTGTAAATGTAGTGGCATCATCTCGGCTCACTGCAACCTCTGCCTCCTGGGCTCTCCAAGCGAATCTCCAAGCGATTCTCATGCCTCAGCCTCCAAAGTAGCTGGGATTAGAGGGCTGCACCACCACACCTGGCTATTTTTAATAGAGGCGGGATTTCACCACATTGGCCAGGTTGGTCTCAAACTCCTGACCTCAAATGATCTGCCTGTGTCTGCCTCCCAAAGTGCTGGGATTACAGGTGTGAACCACCATGCCCGGCTCATGCTCTTTTATAATACTTCTCAGCTGTGAATTCCCCTGCATCCCCACTTTATTCTCACTGTGAAAAAAAAAAAAAAAAAAAACGTCCTGGGAAGGATTTTTTTCACATGTTGATCAGCAATCCAGCTGCAAAAGGAAGCCCTGCGTGTGCCAGAGCCCATCAAAGACACTGCGAGTTTGCATGAAGTCACTCAAGAATTCTCTCAAGGAGATACTTGGAATCTATGTCACAGAGTAGACAGAATGAAAAAGAAAAAGAGAGCTATTGTTGCCAAGAGTAGATGGAGCCTATGCTGTCAAATATGCTGTCATTACTTCTACAAAAATAAAAATAGACAACCAATGTTTTGCCCCTGAATAGACTAGAACGGCTCCTAGATAAACTTCTGAGCAGGGTCCCATTTTTTCAGTGTTTCTGTTTTCCAAACTGATCCAGTAGTGTACAATTTAAATAAAGATACCATTACCTGTCCATCTTGATTAACCACAGCTATCTAGCTGTGCCATGACACAGGCTTTAAAATGGCTGGGAATGTGTAAATAGTCATTGTTTACTCCAAACTGATAGCATCCCTTGGAACTACTCTCATCCAGACCATCCGTGGAACCTAATGCTGGATTATCTGTTGGTATATAGTAAGGGTGAAAATATGCAGCAAGTGACAAACATGTGAAAAGATGCTCCACATCATGTCATCAAGGAAATGCAAATCAAAGCAACAGTGAAATATCACCTTACACTTATTAGAATGGTCAAAATCCAGAACACTGACAACACTAAATGCTGGTGAGAATGTGGAGCAATGGAATCTCATTCACTGCTGGCAGGGATGCAAAATGGTACAGCCACTTTGGAGGGCAGTTTGGCAGTTTCTTATAAAACTAAACATACTCTTACCATACAATCCAGAAATTGCGCTCCTTGGTATTTACCTAAAAGAAGTGAACGCTTATGTCTGCACAAAAGCCTGCACACAAAGGTTTACAAGAGCTTTATTTATAATTGCTAAAACTTCGAAGAAAATGAGATGTCATTCAGCAGGTGAATGGATAAACAAACTGTGGTACATCCAGACAATGAAATATTATTCAGTGCTATAAAGGAGTGAGCTATCAAGCCATGAAAAGAGACGAAGGGAATCTTAAGTGCATATTACGAAGTGAAAGAAGCCAATCTGAAAAGGGTTATATACTGTATAATTCGAACTATATGACATTCCAGAAAAGGCAAAACTACAGACCAGTGAAAAGATCAGTGGTTACCAGTGGCTAATGGATAAAGAAGGTTAACTAGGCAGAACGCAGGGGATTTAGGGCGATGAAATTACTGATACTACAATGGGGGATACATGTCATTAAACATTTGAAAAACCCATAGAATGTATGACACCAAGTGTGAATCCTGAGGTAAACTATGTGTTTGGATTATAATGATGTGTCAATGTAGGTCCACCAGTTATAAGAAACATACCAAACTGGTGGGAATGTTGATAATGGGAGGAGCTATGCATGTGGGGGCACGGAATATCGGAAATCTCAGTACCTTCCTCACAATTTTGCTGTGAACTTAAAGCTGCTCTAAAATATGCTGTGAAAATAACAGATAAACAAATATTAATTTGGGTCCAGCTATCTGTCTGTCATTGGGATAGGTGCTAGGGGTGGAAAGCAAATAAAATATAGTTCTATGTTTTAAGCAGAAACTTATCCATTCAGAGAGATGCAGCAAATGTACATGGGAAGGGGATATTGCAATACATGAAGAATTCTGTGAGCGTTTGCATTCTTGGTCAGCAAATATTCTCCTTCTCCTCCCACTGTGGGAAGAGTAGACCTTCTATGCCCAGCTGATCTTGGGTTTGGTCACATAACTTGCTCTGGCCTTGAAGTATTAGTGAATGTGATTTGAGCAGAAGCGTTAAGAGTATTTGTGTATTTGGCTTGGTTTTTTTTCACACTCCAGTGGTCTGCCAAGAGGAGAAGCCCCAGGTAATCACTGCCCCTTCAACCTGGGCCCCCAAATAAACATACGTGGGGCAGACTTGAGCCCAGCTTCTCATCTGGAGCCAATGTCAGTTAACTCTTAGCATGCAACAAAGCTGCCCAGATGAGCCCATTCTAAATCAGTTGAATCACTATTGAACTGTGGACCCTCAGGCTTAAGA